CTGGGAGGATGGCTATTTACAGGCCATTCTGAGGACTGTGAGCCACATAGAAAGCAGCATCATTTTATGGAAGAAGAAGGAGGAGGAGGAGGAAGAGGAAGAGGAGGAGGAGGAGCAGCAGCAGCAGCAACAGCAACAACAACAGGAGGAGAAGGAAGAAGAGGAGGAGGAGGAGAAGGAAGAGGAGGAGTCTTGAGTACCCTTAAGATTCCTATGTTTGCCTTTGTTGTCACCACCCACCCACCTCTTCAAACAAGCAGTCAGGAGCATGATTGGTCCCTTGCTCTTCTGTGCCCCAGTTATGGGAACACATACATCCTTTTCAGTGCTTCCTTCTTCCAGTCCTAGTCCCTCCACTCCAGCTGAAGTGTTCACCATCCACCACTAAAAACGAACATAGTCTCACTTATTTCCTTATTGATATTCATTCAGTAATTTGCAAACCAGCTCTGTTGGGCTCTGCTCTATCTCTACCAATCTCCTGTTATATTTCTGATCTGACTTGGTCATTCCTTTTGCCTACAAATCTTGCCACAGGATTGACCCCATACCTGTTCTCATGGGCCTTCATGACTTAGCCTCCAGTGTCTGTGCAGCCCCAGGGTATGAGCAATGACTCCCTGATTTTGCCCTTGTATACCAATCACTCCTGGCTGTCCAGCATTTCCTGGCACCCTCTGCTTACTTAAATAGCTCTGTCTCTCCTGAGAAAGTTGACAAAATGTCTCCTGGTGAAAGAAGCAGCTTCTTTCTTTACAATGAGAATTCCCACTCCATTGCTTTGAGTCAGAAAAAGCAGAATCTTGGCTTATAATTGCCAAAGCATGCACTGTATCTCTTCCCTTTCCAACCCACCATGAAAGATGTGGGGGGGGGGTGCTTGTCCTGGGGCTTGAACTCAGGGCTTGCACACTGTCCCTGAGGTCTTTTATTCAAGGCTAAGGCTTGAGCCACAGCTCGATTTCTGGCTTGTGTTTAATGGAGATAAGAGTATCATGACTTTCCAAGCTGGATTTGAACTATGATTCTCAGTTCTGAGATCTGTCCAGATCTCAGCCTCTGGACAGAGGTGAGCCACTGTACCCAGCTCTTGAAGTCTTTTATGACAATCCTATCAATGGATTCATCAATGGGTTCATCCATTTCTGTATAGCAAGACAGTGGAACTGCCTCAAATGGGACCTTATTGTCTCTTATGAACAGTCTTGAAGACTGAGGCCCCCAGATATGCCTGCATCAGTCAACAAACACATTGGGCTCCAGTGATGTGAGGCCCAGAAGGTGAGGGTGGGAGCCTGGGAGATTCTGAGAGCCCTCAATCTCTGGAGTGTGGGAAGCTCAGTTAACCCTAAATGCCTAAGTGTATCAAGTGAGCACACCAGGAAGTCCTCCTGGGTATCCCACCCTTTACAATCAGGTCTCTCTCCTTCATTTATTCATCCAGCAAATATAACACTATGTGCCAGGATTTTTATTTTCTTTTTGAGTGGAGATATAGCAAACAGAAGATAGGCCAAAATCCTGGATCTAGAAAGACAGCAAAATTGAGAAGTGCTAGTGTCTAGCTGGAAGTCTCTCCTCAAGAAGTGATCTTGTAAAGAAGGTCATTGTCTCCCCTTAGGAAAAAGACATTAGAAGAAAACCCTGAAGCAAGTAAAGAACTAGACGCTGCCGCCACCACCATCATCTCCTCTTCTGTGCAGTTTTGTTGCAAATATATGAGATCCACATTTCCAGGAGAGGGGAGGGGGGGAATGGTGCGTTCACTCCATCAACAGGAAAAGGAAGAACGCAGTACCGAAGGGAAGAAAAGCCCAGGACAACAGAAATTATTCTATATTGAACTGTCTCTGATGGACACTTGAAAACCAGCGCGGGGGCAAAGCCGGCACTCCGGGGCCGAGGGGCTCCCGGGGGGCCCCTTTCCCGGGCTGTCAGGCTAATCCCACCGCCGTCTCCCACCCTGCCCCGCCTACGGGGGCATTTGCTCTGGTGGTGAATAAAGTTCAAACCCCGCAGAAGCAAGCCCAAGGAAGCTCTTTGAGCAGCACAGCAGTGTGGCCGCTTGGGGAGAGGCCCCCCGGAAACTAGGGGATCGGCCCAGGGCTCAGAGACTGGGGGGGCGCCGAGCGGCCCCGAGCTCACGCAGCCTGGGCCGTGCGCCTCTGCACCTGCCCAGGGCCTCTGGGCCTGCGGAGCACGAGCTGGCTCTCTGTCCTGACGCTGAACTTTCTCGAAATAATCAAACTCCGAAATGCCACCAAGGAGTTGGGATTCCCCCTTTCTGTCCTCAGCCTCGGGGTGTAGAGATGGAGGATTAAGTGTGCGTCCGGTTCCAGGCCGCTTGACCGCACTCTCAGGGATGCTATTTTGCTTGGATCTGGGGGTCTCTCCCGCGCCGAGTTGCACAACAAACCATTTAAACATTTCAGCACAAAACCCCAATCCATTGTGGGGCCACACATTAAAAAGTGTTATTCGCTTTGATGTTTTTGTCTAATGGCTCTAAAGTGAAAGAAAATGTTTTCCTATTACTTAATTCAATCATAGCGAAGAGACTTGGTAAAAAGCCCACGGATTTTACCCCAAAGTGTGACAGAGTTCTCTTTGTGTTTGCTTATCCTCCGCTGTCACACACTTTAATTCGCCTCTCTTTATCTGGCATTCAAAACTTTCTTCAATGACATTCAATAAGGTCCAGAGGCTGGAGAGAGAGAGAGAGGGAGAGAGGGGGGAAAAACTGGTTATTTTTCTCCCCTCGATATTCTTTCCCAGTAGCTTTGGCCTTGCTTGTATTCAGGGGTCTTAACCCCTTCCTCGCCAGAAGCGCGGGTTGGCTCTCAGGAGGGCTCAGCCCTGGCACCTACCCGAGATCTCAACTCTAGGACATGGTGGACCCTTTTACCCCGCTCAGGCCCCAACTGCTGTAGCTCCCAACCCAGCTCAGCCCAGCAGGGAGTCCCTCTCTCGGTCCCAGAACCCCGCTCCTGCCTCACTCTCAACCGCCCAGCCCATCCCCAAATTCCCAGAGAGCAATTAGAATGGGAATTAGGCTGCATCGATGCGTTCCTGCCCGCTTGGAGGAACTTTAGGGCCTAGAATATAGTTAGCTTAGGGGATACCCCATGCTCAACAACTAAGGAAATATGGAACCTTTATTTCTGCTTTGATGTTGTGTGCCTTCTGTGCAGGTTAGTTTCCACATATCGCCTCCACCTTTTATGGAAGCAGGTTTTTTTTTAAATTATTATTATATTTTTCTCACCCAGAACAAATTCTCTTTGCAACACAATAAGGTGTTGCGATTGTTTTTGCAAAGATGTCATCAACGGTGAAAACCCACGTAGACGCTCCGAGTTTGGGCAACCTTATTCTTGGGGCGTTGATTTCTCCCCACCCCACTCCACCCCACCACCCTACCCCCCTCCGGAAAGCGTCCTCCTCCATTCCTCACAATTCCATTCATGGACGGGAGCAGGTGACTGCAGCGAATTGTTGCCAATAAAATCGAAAGTAAATGTCTCCCAGGAAAAGTCTGGGCTTTAAATTCGAAAATATGTATGCTAATTTCCCATTGTATGGTAAAAAGCTCCTGTACCGGCGGCTTTTCAGTCGGAGGACGATCTTAAAAGCTGAAGCTGTGGGCACAGCGTCGGGCGTTTGAAGTTGTTTAACCATTGTGTGACCAGAAAGAAGAGAAAGACGCGACGGGTGGAAGGAACAGGGTCTTGGGGAGAGTAGCCCAGTCAGGGAGGGCGAAGGCAGCCCAGCCCACAGTGAAAGACAACTGCCCTTCACTCAGCCCCACGTCGCGGGAAGGCGATGGGCTCCGAGCGCACCAGTCTGTCTAGCGGAGAGTGCGCGAAAGATCCGCGCTGGCACCGAACGTCCACATTCGCCACTCTTGACGAAGAGGAGCGAGACCTCCATGAGCATGATCTGCCTCCGTCCATGACTCTCAGCATAGGTCCACCCTCCCCCCACACACCACACCCCTTCTTTTTCTTCTTCTGTAGCTCCAAGGTTTCGTGGTTTGACTGGAAGAGCCGGTGAGCCCGGATCTTTGAAACAAAAGACTGGGCGTTGTGGCCAACACCAAAGTTAAAGCCATTTGAGAAACCCTGTGTGTGTGTGTGGGGGGGGTGGAGACGGTTACCAGAGGGACAGCGATGGGGCCAATACTGGATGCAAAACTGTGAGTCTTTCTCCCTTTCCAAAGGCTGAACCCCGACCCTTTCTCTGGAGCCCCAACCCTACTTCCAAACACAGGGTGTGGAGAAAGGATTCCACAGGTGGAAATGTGAGGCCAGCTGCCAGGACGCTCCCGGGTTGCAACTCCCGAGTTGAGTTCGGAGAACTGGCTGGAAGCAGTGTTGTTGGGAGCGGAGGGGGAGAATCTCAGAAAGGAGGGGAGAAGGATGGAGGGGTCCAAGGATGGAGCGGGCAGAGGGGATGAGAGTGTGCGCCCCTGGAGAATCTGTGGAAGAGAGGCAGCGGGGGATGCAAAAATCAAAAAGCTAAAAGGCCGGTCGCCAATGCAAAGCCAAAGGGGAGTGAGGAATAAAGAGAAAGAAAAGAATATTAAATCGCGGGAGAATGAGAAAATAAACCCGCAAAAGGGAGAGGAGGGGCGAGGGCGCCTGTTACGGCGTGGGTGGGGTTGACAAGAATAGAGTACATTATGCAGTTCATTTAGTTAACAAGTGAAATAATGAGGAAGCGTGCAGAGTGAATGCCAAGAGAAAAGGCACAAAAACCCTATTGAGAGGCCCCGGCCGCTCCTGGCGTAGCCCATCACATGGCAATAGTCCTATTTAAGCGGCGCCGCCGGCGCCTTTCAGCACCACTAGCGCTGGCCAGCACCCCGCGCTCTTTGGGCTGCGCCCGCGGCTGCAGCGACCGCCGCTAAAGACAAGCCTCGGCGTCTCGGGGGCTGACGCAGCTGCGGGCGGCCGGGGCCTGGGGGAAGCGCGTGGAGGGCTCGGGGTTCCAGAGGGCGCAGTGGGCGTGCTGGCGGCGGGGCAGCCGCGCGCCGGGACCATGCCGCGCTCCTTCCTAGTGGACTCCCTGGTGCTTCGTGAGGCCGGCGAGAAGAAGGCGCCCGAGGGGAGCCCACCGCCTCTTTTCCCCTATGCGGTGCCGCCGCCGCACGCGCTGCATGGTCTCTCGCCCGGTGCGTGCCACGCGCGCAAGGCCGGGCTGCTGTGCGTGTGCCCTCTCTGTGTCACCGCCTCGCAGCTACACGGGCCCCCCGGGCCGCCCGCGCTGCCTCTGCTCAAGGCCTCCTTCCCGCCCTTCGGTTCCCAGTACTGCCACGCGCCCCTGGGGCGCCAGCACTCGGCTGTGTCGCCGGGGGTCGCCCACGGCCCCGCCGCTGCCGCCGCCGCCGCCGCTCTCTACCAGACCTCCTACCCGCTACCGGACCCCAGGCAATTCCACTGCATCTCCGTGGGTAAGCGGGGCCGCCATGCGGAGGCGCGGGGCAAGGGTTGGGAGAGCCTTGGGTGCGGTGCGGGGGACAAGTTCGGGGGACTGTGAGGGTCCCCGATGGGCACCGGAGGGGGGCGCTCAGGGTTGTGGGTGGACGGAAAGCGGGGGACCGTGACGCCCGAGACAGGGGAAGAAAATCCAGGTTCCGCAGGGCGGCGTTTAGGGAAACTTGTGAGCTGGGGTCCAAAGCGCTCCAAAAAGGCGCTCCAGGACCTAGTGAGAATGGGGATCTCGCTGTTTGGCAAGGAGACAGGGGCGTTCGCGCTGTTGCCGATCATGTTGAGTCGAAGAGGCGTGTGGGAGTCCAAGGTCCAGGGCTCCTAGACGCCTATCAGTAGGCGACTGAGGCCGAAACACTGGGGTCTGATTATTTCCCTCTCTGCACCGCCATCCTCTTTAGACAGCAGCTCTAACCAACTGCCCAGCAGCAAGAGGATGCGCACGGCGTTCACCAGCACCCAGCTGCTAGAGCTGGAGCGCGAGTTCGCTTCCAATATGTACCTGTCTCGCCTTCGACGCATCGAGATCGCGACCTACCTGAATCTGTCCGAGAAACAGGTGAAGATCTGGTTTCAGAACCGCCGAGTGAAGCACAAGAAGGAAGGCAAAGGCAGCAACCACCGTGGCAGTGGCGGTAGTTCGGGTGCGGGTACCGGCGGGGGCGCACCGCAAGGCTGCAAGTGCGCCTCGCTGTCCTCCACCAAGTGTTCAGAGGATGACGATGAATTGCCCATGTCCCCGTCCTCCTCCGGGAAAGATGATCGGGATCTCACGGTCACTCCGTAGGCGCGCGCGCGCGCCTCCCTTGGCCCGCCGCCCCTGGACTTCCCCGCACCTCAAACACTGATCCTGGACTCCATGCTGATTCCTAGGCACCCGATGCCGATTGACTGCCTCGCACGGATTTGGTACGGCTTTGCAGAGCCGCCCTCCCCTTCCCCCCCACCCCCCAGCTCTGCGCAGAACTGAGTGCTTAGCAGAGTCCCAACGGTGGTGTCCCGGGCAGAGCAAACTCCAAGCTGTAAATCCTGCGGTCTTTCTCGGCAGAGCAAGCTACTCGGCTCTGCTGGCACGCTCGCCCCGGGCATCTCCTCGCCAGCCTTTTCTGGACTGGCCCAGGCCTCCTCGCTTTCTCTACCCTCTTCCACCCTCTATCAAGCAGAGCCTTTCAATCGTTGGATGTCTGTTTGCTTCCTTTATTATTTCTTTGAAGGCTTTCTTTCCCTCTCTACTTTTTCCTGTGATGATTTATCTACCATTTCCAACACATTTATGAAGCTTACCCCTTTTTCCCCTCCTTGCCCACCCTGGTCCTTCCGTGGGCCCATTTGGCCTTCAGTCAGGCTTTGGTATTATATTGGAGAAGCCTGATTCAATGTATTACCTTTATGCTTTGCATTCCCCCAAACATAGACCTCCCCACGTACCCCTCTCTCTATGACTGCCCGCGACTCCACCCACTCACCCCAGGTCCCCGGGCCATCCGGGCCTAGCTGTGTAATTGTAAGGTCTCTGTAATGCCAGAATATATTTATTTATTTATTTATGTACAAAAATTTTAAATAAACTTTTTTTTTCTTAGAAATTGTCCGTGCTTCTGTATCCAAGGCTTTAGTATCGACTAGGCACAAGTGAATCTGGATCGCTCCTCCCTACTGGGGTAGGTTATTCACCCACTTCTCGAGGAGACCCCGCTTCCACCATTCAGTGGCCCCTCGGAGACGCCCCCTCCACCTCCCCCACCACCCCTCCGCCTTTGCGCTTCCGAGCTTTTCCTATCCGACTGCGCACCGCCCGCGGTGGCGCTGAAAATCCAGCGAGGGAAAGAGAGTGTATTATTTTTCGGCCATGATTCCACCCTGCCTCCCGTGATCGCGATTTCGCTATCCCCAAGAACAGAAAATACATTCGGGGGAATCCAAGAAATCCATTCTTCCCCCCGTGCTCGGATTAATAATAATTAACTGGAGACAAACGTCCAGTCTACGTCCCCGGTGGCGCCTCCTCTAACATCTAGGGCCCTTTACTTTGTCTTGAGGCAAATTCTGTTAGCCGGTCCCTTGTCCTGGACCAGTCCCAAGGAGAATTCCGACTGTCCAGCGAGATCCTATCAGGGGGCGAGGGCGGGGGGGGGGCGGATTGCCCGGGAGGGGCTCTGTTAGCTGGAGGACTTCCTGAGCCCACCAACCCGCCTTACAGCCCCATAGCCCTGAACAACTTGAGTCCACAACTCAGTCCTCCTCCTCGAGATTTTCGAGCTGCACAGTGCAAGGGAGAGGTGTAGGGAATTCTGTGAAGACTGAGGCCAGAGCACACAGCCACGGAACAGCCATCTTTCTACAGCTCAGGGAACCAAACAGCGGGTCCAGATTCTCCTGCCTCCCCAGAGACTGGAAAGGTCCTGGAGAACTGGGTTACTTCTTTTTCTGCAGAAATACTTCCATCCCTTAATATCCCTAAAAAGATCTAGTCTCACTGTATCTACTAGGCTTACCAAACCAGTGCTTCTCTGGTGGCAGAAAGGACGCTCTAATTGGAATTGGTCAACATTTGTGAAGCTCCTTCTAAAGTCTTCTTTTTCTTACATCCTCCTTCCGTGCCAGGGTCGGACTCCAGTTCCCCCATAGCAAGGCAGGGTTCACAGAGAAGGCATTTCTGGTCCTTCCTAGAACAGCCTGGGTTGAGCTGTATACGGAGGATGTGGGATCCCATTTTTTAACTATTTCAACTAGGGAGTCATTCTCCACCCACCCATCAATTGGAGGCCAAACTGCTGAGGGCATAGTATAAATAGAATCTCAACTAATGTTTTATGATTGTGGAAACTGTGTGCTTGGCTGATGCTAGTTTGAGTCTGGTGAGCATCGTGGGGCTTCCTTCAACCCCAGTGAAATCCATCATGTCTGCCTTTGGACAGGATTTAGGGACAGACTCATCAGTGGAGTGGTTTGTGGTGAATTAGCAAGCGCTGGTTTAGATCCAGGCTCTCCAGGAGAGGGTGGCTTCTGCTCAGATCACCGGCTCTAACGAGCACTCCACGACCAAATATCCTTCCAGACCCACCAGCACACAGAGGTGTCTGAGTGTGTGCATGTGTGCGTGTGTGTGAGAAAGAGAAAGCAAAGCTAAGAGAGATGTGAAAAGAAGCCACTCATACACCTGAATACACCTACTTTCTGCCTCTTTCAGCTTTGTTAACAGGGCTCCTGCCAGGAGCCCAGGATAGACCTCTGTGAACAGGTCTGCGCTGGTTCGGCTCTCCCAGGAGGGCTGACAGCATTCAGTTCTTCCTCTGGGCGCCCCCTACCCTGGGCTGCCTGTTCATTTTCCCATCCTGCTCCTAGGTTTTGCGCTATCTTGTGCGCTGCCCTGGAGAGCAGAGCAGCGGGAGGAAAGCCAGTCTCCAGTGGCGGTGCTGATGGCTCCCAAAGCGGTGTACAGAACATAGTGCTTCCAGGGCTGCAGAGTAGCGATTAGCCTTGGAAGTCCCAACGGGATTCTCCCCAAACACCTCTGTGTGTGTTAGGCAGGAAGTCAGCCACTGGCCTGTGCTTTGGCCTACACCACGCCTGGGTTGGAGCCAATGCAGGGCTGACCTCCTGGAGAAGCCACAAACCAAAACTCCTCTTCCTCTGGAGAAAAATCCATCCTCCAGCCACACTGTTCCCACATGGAACTTGAAATCCATAAGGCAGATTGTGAAATTAGAATCACACTGGGGCTTGGGAGGGGTTGGATGAAATTTTCTGTGAATTACTACTTCACACACAAGTCCACATTCCAATGGGAATTTGTTTCAGGCACATTCTCGTTCCCCCTGTGAAGTTTAGTGGCTAGGCGTTTGAGCCACGCTTTGCGCAGGATCTCCACCATTTACTCAAACTGGGCAATTTCATTTGGCAAGCCACTAGTCCTTCTTAAGTCTCTGTAAATGGAGATTGTACTGATAGTTCCTTTACAGGGTCGCTGTGCAATGTTTAAGAACAGAATTTACACACGGTGCTGACATAGTAGCTGTAATATTGTAGTTCCATTGGGATTGTTACTTGCAATGCTTATACCTGTGCCTGGCACAGAGCTGGTGATAAATTAATGAATTATGAAAGGGGACCAGTCACAAGACTTAAATCTGAGTCCAACACTGAAAGACCAAATGGAAACATTTTCCAGCTTCCTAGGATTAGTAGATCAGATCTCAAACACACACACACACACACACACACACACACACACACATACACACCAAGCACTGTTCAGGGACTGGGAATTACTTTAGTCCAAACAGAGTTCCATTTTGCACCTTGGTTTGTAACAGTCCCTCTATCTTGTACTATTGACATCTTGGGCTGGATAATTCTCCACTGTGGGGCTTACCTGTGCATTGCTGGATACTGTGCAATGTCCTGCTGTCTACCTTAAATGCCACTTTCTCCTACTTACAACAACCAAGAAGAAATGTCTCCAGGTACTTCCAGAAGTCCCCTGGAGAACAAAATTGCTGCCAGCTCAAAACCCTGACCTGGATGGTTTCTGCTGAGGTATCTCATGAGCCAGGATTTGGTAGCCCAGCTCTAAGCATACATCTGTACCTTCTGCACTTGGTTAGAGACACCCTGTGGTGTGGAATGAGAGGTGGAAAGGGGAAATGAAAGAAGGGTGGGATAAGTTCAAAGAGCCAGCAAGATAACCCTTTTTCTATACTGGGAGCATCTGTTTGTTTAGACAGCCTCAGACACACAGGTGGAGAGGGTGGACCCAGAGATGAATTGGCTGAGCTGTTTACAGCACTAACAGGATCTTCCTGAAAATATTCTCTTCCCATGCTTAATGGCATCCTCTTCAGGAGGACTCATAACCCAGAGATCAAGCATTTGTAGTAGTGCAATTTTAGGGATCAGAGATATATCCCCCCAACTCTCTCACACACATACATGCATGTGCACTCTCTCACACACATACATGCATGTGCACACAGTAACACACACACACACACATTTACTCAGCACCATTATAGCTCTTCCTGGAGCACATATCTTACCTGCTCTGTCAGTGCCTAAGAATCTGAAGCTAGAAATCAATTCCTCTTGATTAAGATCTCTCATCTTTGCTTCAAAGACAAGCACCCCTGAAAATAATCATCAAAGAGGGTTGGGGTGTTGTTGTGAGAGCCCACACTTAGCATATGTGAGGCTCTGGGCTGAACCTCCAGCACCAACCAAAAGAGGAAAAACAACAACAACCAATGAGCACTGACAGACACATACTTTTTTCTGATAGAAAACTCTGAAAGGCCCTGAGGATGATGACCAAGGGAGCTAGAAGAGCTGCAAGGATGGGGAAAGGGCAGTAGGTTCTGGAGGGTTTTAGAAATCTATCTGGCACCAATTTGTGTTGCCTGGGGCCACTGGCCTCACTCCTGAAGTCAGAGGATGAGTAAGTATGTGTAGCAGACTCCTGCAGAAATGGATTTCATTCAGAAGGCTAGAAACAACCAATTCCACGAGCATCAATATCATAAATCCAGCATTTCCCCAAATTCTCACATGGTAGTCAGTGATGAGCTCCTAACATAGTGGTCCACAGGTATGCATTCCAAGCCCCCCAGGGGATGCCTGAAACCCTTTAAACAGTACCACACTTGTATGCACTGTTGTTCCTGTACATGTGCACATATGATGAAGTTTAATTTATAAATTAGGCACAGTGGGAAACTAACAACAGCTAATAATAAAATAAAAATCATTACAGAATTTTATAAGGGTTATTTAAAAACCTATCTATTGTTTCTTT